CTGTACTCAGCAAGCGCAGTACAGCCCCGAAGTCAAAAAAAAAAAAATCAGAGGAAGACTGTTTTCTGAGCCGTTGGCTACCGCCGACTGGTCAGCCCCGATCGGTCGGTACAATACGGTCGGCCGTCGGCCTGACCGGTCGGCGGGGATGCAACCCTGCTCGCCACTGCATTCCGTGCACCTCTTTCCCGCCGCTCTTCTCTAATATTCGAAACATATTCCTGTCATGAAATATATTCATGTTGCTAATACCGTAACCCTTTGACCTGACGGCAGACCAATCACTCTGACAGTGAAAAATAGAAAATAGGTTTCCTGGTGTAACAACTTGTCTGCCGATGACTCTACGGGTCAAAATCCGGCTGCAATTCCGACAGGGTCAGTTTTGAATGATGATGGTTCACCGCTGCTTCCCTTCATAATATTGGGCGGGGAAAAACAACAAAAAGAAAACGCCTGCACATTGGGGCATGAGCCGAGGCGTCACGGCATACACAGCTGAAGCAGTTTCCTGGCCTTATCTGCCTTCTATTACAGACTACACTGCATCGATGTGACTCTGATTCCGTCTGCAGCTAACTTCAAAGGTCCCCTGTCGACTTCCGTCGACACGTCTGCCCTGTTTTTTTAGGTCCTGGCTCCGGATTTAAGACGGCAGGTATGACCATTTCTGCACAACTCACGAAAAATGGGAAAATTCAGCTAGAAGGTCCGGTGATGCACTGCCATATCTTTCTTCTTATGTGAATTTGGTGAGTACTGTGGTCAGGCCTGTGCCCCCCGGAAACAAATGAAAAAATACAGCTCTTGGATCGCCAGTCCCCATTTTTCTCTTCGTAGCTCGTCATCCGTCTTGATTTTCTCGCTGTGGCCACGTCTCACCTTATGCTACTGTCTACTCCACTCTCGGCGGGTCACGACCCTGTTCTGTAGGCGATGCTGCTCTGGAGTTCCAATTCAGCTCAACAGTTCTGTGTGCGGTGTAACCTGCAATGCTCTATATTCTACATCTAACTCTACTCTACTCTGCAGCCTCTGCTCGATGCCCTCTACTCTACTCTCTATTTCTCTGTATTGTACTCTGCTCTGTATTCCACTGTACTCTCTGTTGGGTCTACTCTTCTCTCGCTGTACTGCAATCTCTAGGCTCACCTACTCTTATTGTCAGCTGCTCTCACCTCTCATATCCACTGAATGAAATTACTTCGCATGACCCTTTTGGCCGCGGGCGGAGCTACGCTGGCTAATCTTGTGTTTGTCTACCACTCTTCTGTCCTGAATGCCGAAAGTGTCATCTAGATGTACAACTTATGGGCACGTTAGCTGGAAATGCTACTAATTGCTCTTCGGAATATAGTAGTTGCAGCACCGAGGACATGACCAGTAAGTGAAGTCTGCACGCAATCCCAGAAATGGTTCCCAAATGGTGTTTGTCATGGTCCTCAGGTTCGATTTCTATCTGATGGCATGCGGACTTGGGACTTCAGAAAAGGTTTTGCATTATTGTACCATAGAAAACAGGAAAAAGGAAAGGAAACACGAAAAAAGCAACGGGTTAGGAGTCTGACAGAGTTTTCTTATTTCTTCTTCCTCATTGCAGATCTTGATGAAGCTGCTCTGCCAATTGAGGAATATCCGACCCTCCAGGATTTCTTCACACGATCTCTTAGGGAGGGTGTGAGGCCTATAGATTCCAGACCCAATTGCCTGGTATTTTCCTTGGCTATCACTGGGACCCTTCGGTTGCTTGGCATTGAATGGAGATCTGATTGGGATGAGCAGACACACAAAGATTCCCGTGAACAGGCAAACAAACCTGATTGGGATGAGCAGACACACAAAGATTCCCGTGAACAGGCAAACAAACACACAACACAGCTTGCTTTGTCGTTCTGGAATGAGTCACATATTATTTTCGTCCTGTGCCTCTGTAGGATGGTGACTGCGTTTTTACATTCGGGCCTGCTAGTCTATGTTCTGTTTTATTATGCAGTAAATATGGGTAACCTTGTTGATGTTTATTCTGTCCACATCGTTGCCCTCAAGTTTGTGGATAGTACAGCATATGTCTTCGTTGGTTGGCAAGTGCGTCTCTATGGATTCTATGTGTGTCTTGTTGCTTTGCATGGTGCTGTGTTATTGAATTCGTTATATGATTCTGTGGTGTGGATGGTGCCAGAGGATAAGTGTCCTTCAGCAGGCTCATGAATGGCCAATCTCAGGTGAAAGGCACAAACTCCAACTGCTGGGCTGCAGGGGTGTTGCTGTGTTCTTGAAAGGGGTCTCTTCGGCTTGTGTTATTGAACTGTCATCAAGACTGCTAGATTTCATTGGAGGGTCTATGGCGTGCCCATGTCAGACATGTCTAGTGACAGAGCTGCAGGATGGCAGCAGACGAAGAGAGAGTTGTCATACTGTGGGAATGAGTATGGGTAGAATCTCATCAGCTGCACCTGTACAGCCTACTATTGCCTTGTGCTGTCCTGGGTTTGCTCTCTCTCTCTCTCTCTCTCTCTCTCTCTCTCTCTCTCTCTCTCTCTCTCTCTCTCTCTCTCTCTCTCTCTCTCTCTCTCGCACACACACACAAACACACGCAGAGGTTGACAGCAGCCATCACTGGCTCCAAACCTATGACTGAAGAGGGGGAAGCTTTACTTTCTGACAGGTCCTGAGAACACGAATCCACAGAGCGACTAAGAGTGAGGACCACTCCTCCGACACTGGCAAAGCACTACTACCGAAAGCACAAAGGTCACTTCCTCTGTGTCCTGGAGAGAGAGAGAGAGAGAGAGAGGTTTTGTTGGATGTTCGGTATAGTCTATATGGGCCACAGGATGTGCGAATTTAGGATTTCTGGATTTCGTTCATGCTTTGCTCGTATGCCTTTTTGCACTGTGACTGTTTCTCTGTAAGTTGAAGAGTGTTCTGCCATCCTTAGGACTGCAGTTTGCATTCGGTCCCCTCTTTCCCCCTTATATTCTTTCTTGCCTCACTCTTCTGTCAGAATTAGTGATGGGTGTACACTGACTCCTTCGATGGCATGCTCATCGGACTGTTGTGCTTCAAGGCCAGATTGAGCTGCGCATAATGATTTTTGACATCCTCCAAACCTTGTTGCTTTCCTACTTTTGAAGTTAAAACTGTTTTGCCAGTTACATCCATGTTGGGGATTGGTGTCTTGGCATCATGGTGGTTGTTATCTATGGGCGTAATGTCAAACTAGAGGGAAGAAAAACAGATAGGCGAAAATGCCCCGTGGCATCCAACACATTGTGCTGATTGTGTTGCACATCTCTCGATCTTGTTATTGTCAACACTGAACTGCAAGTAACGGGTGCAGAAGTAATTGAAAGCATCTGCATTCCATAACTCCAGGGCTCGTCATACAGTGGCTGCCAATCGCTTGTGTGTAAGTGTATATATTTTGTTCTTGACGTCAACAATGGATGCTTTGTTTGTCTACAGTTATGTGGACTCTGTCCCGCTTGGAAGTAGGTGCCACCCCTTTGGACTCAATTGGGATTTTGGTTTGCCATCGTTGACACTGGATTTTCGTGGTCTGGAGTTGTGGCCGCCATGACAGGTGAGCCCTGTGGATGGGATTGTGCTCAACTGTGGTGAGGTTGTGGGAGGGGGGTCTATGGTGGAACAAGTGAAAGGGGTTTCCTACTCTCTGAGGGCCCTTCTTGGTGCTGAGCCTCCATCTGATTCAGAAGGGAGCAGTGATGAAGAGGATGCTATGGGGGAAACAGATGGGGACATTGAACAGGGTCGGGGACCCAGGCCATGGTGGCTTCTTAGAGTGTGGAGACGGCAGCAAAGAGTCAAGCCCATTGTTCAGCAAGAGTCAAAGTGAGGCCCCCCCCTCCTCTCCCGTCTGAATAGTTCTGTGGTGATGCTGCTCACTATTGTAACTGCAATCCCATAGGCAGCCTCTCTCTCTCTCTCTCTCTCTCTCTCTCTCTCTCTCTCTCTCTCTCTCTCTCTCTCTCCCCCTTGTTCTTTCAGTTGTTTTCCTCCCTTGTTCCAGCCCTTGCTCCCTGTGTTTCTCTCGCTGCAGTTCTGTTTGTTTGTCTGCTCTTTCCTCCTTGCGCTCAACTTTTGCAACTGCTGACATGGTATGGACAGTGCCAATCCCAATCCTGAGTTTTCCTTAGTGTTCTCGTGGTGATCCTATCTGGCAGGTTATCCTATCTGCAATCTGATTAACTGAGGGCATACTCAGACTAGGGCCTGGAATCCACAAAATCTGTGGCCTGCAATCGGCTGCCATTGATAAATCTCATCGGCGGCTGCCGATTTGTTTCGACCTCCTAAAAGGTCGGTGGCTCACCCGAGGCCCGATATTTTTCCACTCGGCAAAGGTATTAGGGGTTAAAAAAAGATGGAAAAAAATGGAAAAAATGCATGCGCACAAGAGAGAGAGAGAGAGAGAAGTGTTGCAACCCAATCCCAATCTAACTACTTAATGCTTTTCCCCACAAAAATCTAGCTAACTACGCCCCCC